TTTGAATATTACATGTTAATAACTTGATTGGAATTATAACCTTGAGTTGACAGTTTGATACTTTGAAAATTTTGAGCCAGCCCTACCCCCAAGGGCTGTAGGGTGGGGCTCAAGGGAGTCAGTGTGCTAAAATTTCTTCATTTTCCTTGTTTAGAATCAGAGGTGCTAGTTTCAAATCCTTTTTAGTCTGAAATCTGTATGCTTGATATTGAATAAGGTGGTTTTATTGTTTTTTGTCACTTTGAATAATATTTCTGTTCATGTTAAAAACGAAATCAACTCTCTGTATAAATATATCAGGTGACCGTTAAGGCCCATGGGCCTCTTGTTTATTAAGAAATTCTAAAAATAAACTTTAAAAAATTGAAAATCACAATACACACGGTTTAAGTGGAAGTGTAAGAAATCATTGTCATAGATTTAAAATACTTGATACTGGAGAATAAATTTTAATGTTTTAATTTGTATATGGTTTACCATGGGGGTATTGTCATCATTATCCTCTTGGTCACTCTGTGCCCTATCACTCATCCTTTATCATTAGATCATTGCATGGTTTATTTCACTCTCTTCCTTGTTATAATTCAGAATTATTGTTCATGAATATGTTGGTCTGTAATTTTTTTTCGTGTTATTTGTGAGTCATGTTAAAAATTCGTTAATGAATTTTGTAAGATTTTAACAGCAAGCTTTTTAAGTGATATCCATAATATGTCAGTTCGTTTAAAGCACACATAACTTAGTGTTTTTTTACCTTGAATTTTGCTTGATAACATTTTAATTTGCCAATGTAATCATTCTGCAATTTGAATGTGTGGTGTTTTTGCTGCAGCCTTTATACCTAATAGCTGCTTTTTTTAGATATTTTTAGTATATATATATATAGATACATACACTTCTGTACAGTAAGTATAAAAAATGTGACACATATACATCTTATTATTTGACTAATATCTGTACTCACTGAGATGTGTACCTGAACTTTCAGCCCAGCAAATCTCCATACGAGGCCGAGTTTACTGTTGAAGTAGACTCTGAATTCTTCAGTGTACCCAACAAACTGACAATGAAGCCTCCCTCATCTTCACGGTCACACAGTGCTCCGGTCTCAGGTAGGTCACCAAACTTATCATCAAGGTCACATAGTGATCCAATCTCAGGTAGGTCACCAAACTCATCTTCATGGTCACATAGTGCTCCAGTCTCAGGTAGGTCACCAAACTCATCTTTACTGTGACATAGTGCTCCAGTCTCAGGTAGGTCACTAAACTTATCATCAAGGTCACATAGTGCTCCAATCTCAGGTAGGTCACCAAACTCATCTTCATGGTCACATAGTGCTCCAGTCTCAGGTAGGTCACTAAACTTATCATCAAGGTCACATAGTGCTCCAATCTCAGGTAGGTCACCAAACTCATCTTCACTGTCACATAGTGCTCCAGTCTCAGGTAGGTAACCAAACTCATCTTCACTGTTACATAGTGCTCCAGTCTCAGGAAGGTCACCAAACTTATCATCAAGGTCACATAGTGCTCCAATCTCAGGTAGGTAACCAAACTCATCTTCACTGTTACATAGTGCTCCAGTCTCAGGTTGGTCACCAAACTCATCTTCATGGTCACATAATGCTCCAGTCTCAGGAAGGTCACCAAACTCATCTTCACGGTCACATAATGCTCCAGTCTCAGGTTGGTCACCAAACTCATCTTCAAGGTCACATAGTGCTCCAGTCTCAGGTAGGTCACCAAACTTATCTTCAAGGTCACATAGTGCTCCAGTCTCAGGTAGGTCGACAAACTCATCCTCATGGTCACATAGTGCTCCAGTCTCAGGTAGGTCACCAAACTCATCTTCAAGGTCACATAGTGCTCCAGTCTCAGGTAGGTAACCAAACTCATCTTCACTTTTACATAGTGCTCGAGTCTCAGGTAGGTCACCAAACTCATCTTCAAGGTCACATAGTGCTCCAGTCTCAGGTAGGTCACCAATCTCATCTTCAAGGTCACATAATGCTCCAGTCTCTGGTAGGATGGGAATTAATTATACTTATAATTGCTATCAATTTGCAGATTAATGATCTAAGAAATATTTAAACTTTGATATTTTTATATGGAACTATTACAGACTAAGCTAATCAATAAACATTTGTCCATATTATGACATCACAATCGATATCTGACTGGCACAGCCAATGAAAAACACTCCAGGGTTTATTATACTAATGACATATGTAAAATTATTACAGGCGAATTCTCTGGATAACAGGCCGATTATGTGATAAAACAAAATCAAACATATGATATATAGTTTGTAATATACATGTAGTATTTATTTGCACTAGGATCAATGCAAAAGTGATATGTATTAATGATTGTGACATCTGTCCCCAGACTACCAAGGAAGGGAGCCTTTCATGGAGCTGCCCATCAAGTTCAAGGCCAAGGAACCAGGTCACTATCCATGTGAGATCATCCTGAGGGGCAGTGACGATGTCAGGGTCTACAAGATAGAGTGTACTGTCAACCCTGAGGGCAGCACCGCAGAGTTACAGTTCAAAACCCCTGTCCATCAGTCCGTCTCACAGGAAATACCAGTCGTAAGCCTCCTTTTAAATTCACTATTAGAGTTAAACATGACTGAACTCTAGGAATTAATTCATCAGATCTATAACTTTATAACATGTTTATTTCAACTGTTAAACATAATTCTTCCATTTCACAAAATTTTAATGTAACATATAATTTATGTCCAGTTTTTGTATCTTTCTTTTTGTGAAAGTGTATATGCTGCTTTCTAGATATAATTTTACTTTGCAGGTAAATATGACCAATCATGACTGGCCCTTGAAAGCGACGATAGAGGGATCTGGATTCTATGGACCTCCCACAGTACTGGTCAAGGCATACAACCCCACAACCTACCCACTGGTCTTCAAACCTCAGAATGAGGTTGAGGTCAAGGTCAGTATATTATTGTTTGTATGAACCATGTAATTGAGAGTAAGATGCTTGAATATTCATGCTTTTGTAAAGTTGTAAATCTTTTATAATGTTAACAGTTGTGAGATTATGAGTAAACCTACTTGTGTATTCATAGTTATATGTTTGACTTTTATTTGTAGGGTAAGTTGGTCCTGACCAATACTGAGGATGGTACGGAACACATCTACCACCTCCATGGTCGGCCAGAGAAACCACTCGCTCTCGACCATGTAGTCATCAAATGTGATGCCAAGAAAAGGTCAGTTTAACAAAAAATATAATGATTTCATGTTTAACGCAGCAAATATGTACGATTTAATCTTGTATTTCAAGCAAATACTGATGTACTTGATGTTTTTACCATAGTTTTATTTTATTTTTTTCGTTTTAGCACGGCACATATTCTGAAGATTCCAAATGTTACCAAAAGGAAAATGTGTTATAGGGTAAGTTGACCTTAGGTAATAATAATGCTGAAATATTCTATAACCTTCCCTCATATATCTCTTTCAAGACAATCTAGTTAAAAATAATGTTATGAAATACAGTTGCTTACAATATAAAGGTCTTTATACACCACCTTTTTTTAAACTAAATTTTGAGCTGTCAAATTAAATATAAAATTCCTTCTCAGTTGGGATGATTTTCATGAATAAGTAATTGCTACTTTCGACCCTTATGTCATATTTACAGTTATTGTCACTGAAGACCACTTATGTTATATTTACAGTATTGTCACTGAAGACCACTTATGTTATATTTACAGGTATTCTCTACTTAAGACCACCTATGTTATATTTACAGTTATTGTCACTGAAGACCACATATGTTATATTTACAGTTATTGTCACTGAAGACCACTTAGATTTGTATGTTATATTTACAGTTATTGTCACTTAATACCACTTATGTTATATTTACAGTTATTGTCCCTGAAGACCACTTACATTTGTATGTTATATTTACGGTTATTGTCACTTAAGACCACTTATGTTATATTTTCAGTTATTGTCACTGAAGACCACTTATGTTATATTTACAGTATTGTCACTGAAGACCACTTATGTTATATTTACAGTTATTGTCACTGAAGACCACTTACATTTGTATGTTATATTTACAGTTATTGTCACTTAAGACCACTTATGTTATATTTACAGTTATTGTCACTGAAGACCACTTATGTTATATTTACAGTTATTGTCACTGAAGACCACTTATGTTATATTTACAGGTATTGTCTACTTAAGACCACCTATGTTATATTTACAGTTATTGTCACTGAAGACCACTTATGTTATATTTACAGTTATTGTCACTGAAGACCACTTACCCTGGTTGTGTATAACTCCTCTTGTGTGCCATATCTCCCCCCTTCCCCTTTTGATAAAAGGTGTGACTCATATTGCTCTCCTCTGGTTGACCTGCCATTACGTGTTCCTCTTGTCCTCCCCAGGTTGAGTCTGACCTGCCATTACATGTTCCTCTTTTCCTCCCCAGGTTGAGTCTGACCTGCCGTTCTTGAGTGGGAATACATCCCTGACAGTGCTTCAGGGTAAGACAGGGGTGTATAATATGTCCCTGACACCCTCCAGACGAGGTATCTACAAGGGTATTGTAGCTTTCATCGCCGGCAAGAATCCAGTCATGTAAGCACTAAATACTGATCAGCCACACAAAATAATTTAATTTCTCCTTGATCTCATTCATTACATACTAAAATAGGTTAACTCACATAGCAATCACTAATTCTACTTAGATGTGAAAATCATCAGTATCTTGATATTCATTGAAACACAGATATGAAATTACATACAGAAATATTAATGTATTAGATTGACAAGAATTACAATTTGTTGCCTAACTTTGACCTTATGATGATCGTTATATGTCCTTCTTACCTTGGTAGTGAGGTGGACAGCGATGGAGATGAGATTCCTGAGGATGAGGATGAGGAGAGTAGGAAATACTATGGTTACCGTATCTGGTACTCCTTGGAGGTCCATGTGAAACCCCCACCACCTGAGCGCATCATGTCTGTTGTCTGTGCTTGTCAGGTATATATAACATTTACAGTGGATATGAGAAGACTTAACATGAGCATAACAGCCGAGGCTTTTAGTACTATTAGTACTTTGATTTTCAACGACATACAATCAATGATATGTGTATTACTCTATGAATGTTAATAATGTTTTCAGTAAAAATTAAGTCTAATTAGTTAAGTTCACTGCTTGTTTGAGTTCAGTATTGATGTTGGACAGGTGACATGTGACCCCATGTAGCTTGCAAAAAACCTAGGTAAAAGGCTATCATGGTAAACGTTGTGCGAATCCATTTTGTAGAAAAAGGCGGTGATAGAAGTGATCGTGAGGAATCCAACGCCCAATTATATCACCATTCAGGCTCAAATAGAGGGGCGCAACCTCTCTGGACCCTCCAGTATTTCTTTGGATGCCGGTGAAAAGGATGTCTACTCCGTGACATATGCCCCGGCAATCATAGGCAAACAGAGGGGAAGGTACATACAAAATGTGTAATCCAGTGTTCTTGAGATCTGATATATAAGTCTCTAGCATTGCCATTTAAACGTTAGATACTACCAGATGTAAAATGAAGGTGATGAATGTTTCAGTTAATTTTACATAGAGCTTCTTCAGTGTTATTTTCTGTTAAAATAAATAGAAATTGTATATGAAAGGTTTGATTGTGAAATTGCATGATGATGTCAACAGCTATCACTTACACTGGATCCAACTTGAATTTCAGTCTAATATTTTACCAAGAGAGTGTGGGAGAGTTCTGGTATGACCTTCGCCTGCAGGCCGAGCCCCCACCACAGACCACCCTTCTTCACATGGAGTGTGACCTTGGGCGGTAAGTCTCACATTTTGCCTGAGAAGGGAGATAATCATTTATCAACTCTGGAAGTGCTAAAAGTGATTGGGAAACTGTAGAACCTACTTATTATGAGTTATAGGATCATACAGATTGTTTACTATAAACAGGTGTCCTTTACAGACGAGTTACCTGTTGTTTTTAGCTCATCTGGCCCAAAGGGCCATGTGAGCTTATGCTGTACTGCGGTTTGCGTCGTCCGTCCATCAAATTTTTCTTTTCAACGACTTCTTCTGAAGAACTGGAGGACCTAGGGTCATGATATTTGGCCAGTAGTTACCCTGGATGAAGTGCTATAAAGCTTACTCATTAAAATGACCTTGACCTACTTTCAAGGTCACTGGGGTCATATATGTTATAAATTTCAAACAACAATATCCTAAGAACCATTTGGACTAGAGTCATGATACTTGGGTAGACCAGCAGTGCGAATATTTTTCTTTCTGAAAGTAATGAGGTCAAAGCTCAACTTTAAATGCTAGTCTGGGGTCAAATGTCAACATGAGTTAAAGATTTAACAATCCTCTTCTCAAGTTCCATAAGGCCCAGGGTCATGTTATTTGGCCAGGAGGTACCTGGGATGGAGTGCTATGAAGTTTTCTCATTAAAATGATCTTTACCTACTCCAAGGTCACAGGGGTCAAATATGTTAAAAACTTCAAACAACAATATCCTAAGAACCATTTGGACTAGAGTCATAATGATTGGGTATGTTATGTAGACCAGCAGTGCGAATATTTTTCTCAATTACAGTAATAAGGTCAAAGGTCAACTTTATGTGCAAGTCGGGGGTTCAAATTTCAACATGGATTAAAGGCTTTAATAATCTTCTTTTCAAGTTCCATAAGGGTCATGATATTTGGCCAGTAGGTACCTGGGATGAGGTGCTATAAAGTTTCCTCATTAAAATGACCTTGACCTACTTTCAAGGTCACATGGGTCAAATATGTTGAAAATTTCAAACAACAACACCCTTGGGTTTGTTATGTAGACCAGCTGTGTGAATTGTTTTCTTTATTACAGTAATGAGGTCAAAGGTCAACTTTAAGTGCAAGTCGGGATCGAGTCAAAGGTTAATGTGGGTTAAAAGCTTCAAAATTCAAATTTCAAATTTCAAACAACAATATCTTCAGAACTGTTTAAGAGATGTTTAAATGTCTTGTGTTCTAGTTACCAAATTTGGTCTTATGTTACCTATATGTCAGTTTCATGTAACAAAAGAAACAGATGAGCGAGACAGGCCCTCTGGGCCTCTTGTTTTTCTTTCCTGTGAAATGAGCTGTCTTTCATAACTGGCTTTGAGTTACAATGCCAGATTATATTTAAAAGGTTTATTGGATTCTCATAGACACAACAGCAGATCATTTAGCTCTGTGTCATTGCTTAAACTAAATTGTGAAACTGAAAAAAAAATCTGATGGATAACAATGAAATCCTCCTGCTGCAGGTGGACTAAGCAGACAATATTGTTAGAGAACCCGACAGACGAGAGCCTGGAGCTGATCCCGACCATGTCAAACACCAACAACTTCTCACTGGAGCGTGACAATGAACGCCCAATAGTGCTCCGACCACGCTCATCCATCCAGGTGCCCATCCACTTCATGCCGTCCACTCTAGGCCAGGGTGACCACCTGACCAAGGTCATCTTTAATAGTGAACAGGTAAGAAGGAGAGTTTTGGATCAAATGTTACTATTTCAGAAAGTAACTTTTCAGTTTTATAATCCATTAATGTCACGATGTAGACTTTTAATCAGTGAAATAATTTACTTGAGTCATAGTTATCAGATCATGTTTACCATACAGGTATTCATAAAATTACTGTTAAGTATTATTACTGACTTGGCTGGAGAAACATCAACAAAACATACAGTGTTTGGTACTTACGTTAACTTTTGTGCCCACAGCTTGGTGAGTGGGTGTTCATTGCTTCGGGAACGGGACTGCTGCCGCTCCCCCAGGACCCAGTCAGTGTATTCACAGAGGCCGGCTCTAACACCACCCTCATCATTCCTTTCCGTAACCCAATGGATCACGCTGTTATGGTGGACATCTTACTTAGAGGTGGGTATATTCTATACCTCAGAGGTAGGTATATTGACTATATTCTATACCACAGAGGTAGGTATATTGACTATATTCTATACCTCAGAGGTAGGTATATTCTATACCTTAGAGGTAGGTATATTCTATACCTTATAGGTAGGTATATTCTATACCTTAGAGGTAGGTATATTCTATACTTTAGAGGTAGGTATATTCTATACCTTAGAGGTAGGTATATTATACACCTTAGAGGTGGGTATATTCTATACCTTAGAGGTAGGTATATTCTATACCTTAGAGGTGGGTATATTCTATATCTTAGAGGTAGGTATATTCTATACCTCAGAGGTAGGTATATTCTATACCTCAGAGGTAGGTATATTCTATACCTTAGAGGTGGGTTTATTCTATACCTTAGAGGTAGGTATATTCTATACCTTAGAGGTAGGTATATTCTACACCTTAGAGGTAGGTATATTCTTTACCTTAGAGGTAGGTATATTCTATACTTTAGAGGTAGGTATATTCTATACCTCAGAGGTAGGTATATTCTATACCTCAGAGGTAGGTATATTCTATACTTATAGCTTGTGCAAGATCTATGATTCTTTGTGTTAAAGAGTTGACCTTTAGTTTCAAATTTTTCTATACACTTGGTGATTAAGAAACTGAAAGTGGTTGAGAATTCCAACAATGATATCAAAAGGAGACCTATTTATGAAAGCTTGTTCTGGCTTCCACAAACTGATTTATATGAGATACATCCCTTAGTCCAGATTGTATCAAGTTTTTGTTTATTTACCTCCAGACACTAACTTTTAAATATTGTGTAGAAAGTGTGTATTATATAGACTATATAGTGTAAAATATAATGAAAAAATACTCCTTTGTAGATACCAATGCAGAATTAGATCGACTGACATACGAAAATTCAAACCCTTCTAATAAAACGGCTGATGACTCGGCCTTCTGCTTGCTGCTGAAACACAGGAACATGATCCGAGTGGGACCAAAGTCCACGCTGGATATCCCAGTGTGTTTTGCTCCAACAGAGATGATGAAGTATGATGCTCTGTGTACAGTTGTGGTACGGAAAGAGGACGGTGGAAAGTGGCAGTATGCTCCAAGGGATAGCGAAGGGTAGGTCATCCGTAACCCATCAGGTATTAACTAGGATACCAGAATTTCATTGGGCAATGTTAGTTAACCTGCCTGTTGCAAACATGATCAAGAACCTGTCAAACCTAGATATTTCTACCTGAACAGCGCCTGCATTACTGGAAAATCTCTGTATTTGTAAGTGATTTATATATGCAGATCATAAAATGTTTAATTTTACCAACTGAAAGCAAATATTATAGTCATTATACATTCAATGTTTGTTGACAGTTACCAATTATCCACGACTGGCAGTGATGGTCTTCAGGAGATCAGGTGGGTCTACCCCATCAGTGGCATCCCCGAGTCCAAACCAGCCAAGGACACCCAGGGGGCAGTCATTGAATGTAAGGCTAGGGACCGTGTTGAGGAGAGGTTAGAGGTTACACTAGCAGGTGTGGCTCCAGCCAGCTCTGGCCCACAGAGAAGTATCCTCACCAGATCTGTTACCCCGAAGGACCAGAAACCAAAGATCGCTGATGGTGTGGTCATTGGAGAAAGTAAGATATTCAATAAACAAATGTTGACCTCAGTAAATCACTTAGCCATATATCTGGTAGTTAAATGTTTACACAGTTGCTTCTCTCTTATGGTTATCGTACAACTTGCCTTCTTTACCAGTACAAGTCTTTATTCAAGTTTTAATATATTACATGTAACAATATTCTAACCTTTGCATTTAAGTCTGTAAACTATCTTGAAGTAAATAAAAACCTTTATAAAGTGTTAGCCAAAAGTATACTACATGTTTTTAACTTTTTTGAACTTAAGTTAAAGAATATATTTTGATAATCTAAGTTGTAAAACCTTTTGTTAACAGCATTAGCCACAGCAGAGGAGTTTGTCCATGAGTTAGGATTCACCGACAATGAGGCACAGGAAAACCTTCAGAACTCTGTTGCTGTGACCTTGGTGCGTCAACAGCGCGACACCAGCTCGGGCCTGGTCATCCTCGTCTACAATATTGTTTATGCTCCCTTTAAACCAATGAGGTAAGCAGAATGTATTGTTGATATGGTTAATGCATATCCTTTTATATTTAACCTTTATTTGGGACATTTCATCGCTCAGAAAATAAAACTTATTTATTGAAAGTTAATACAAATGTACCTTGTGCCACAGCATTCATTGCCATCTGAATTACCTAACTTTATATAGAAGCACATCACCATGTAACATTAAATATGCAGCTAGGACACTATCTATAAAAAGATGGTTAAACTGTTTGGAACACGATAAACAATAACAGAATTTATTTAGTTTAAACAACCGTTTTTCATCAAACATTTAACATGCTATTACAGAGCAATGCAGTTTAGGTACGTTTTGCACAACACTACATGTAGAGATATTCCATCATTCACATCTCACCTATAATGTGTTTCAGCCACAACGTTGAGCTAGTAGTGAAGGCGGCCACTGGGGGCTTGTGGCGCTTCCCACTCAAGTTTGTGGCAGCAGAGCCACCATCGGACGACACAATCACCATTGAGGCCACTGGCCTGAACCAGGAGTCAAGTGTAGGCTTCCGACTCACCAGTCAGGCCAAGTAAGTATACATTAGGTCCCCCATGTGGAACTGTCAGAGTGGATTTAGACTGGTGGAATGTATGTGCTAGTTGTGTCCTTGCTTGAAGTGCTAAAAGCAGGATCTATAGTTTGTTCTATGTACGTAATACTGGGGTATATATGTGTCATCACTAAAGCATATGTTTGTACTTAATGATTTTACCCCAAGGTCAATGTCATAGAGGTCAGAGGTTAGAAAACCCCTTTGAGGTCAAATATATCCAGTGGATGAGATTTTGTACGCGTGTGCCAACTATACTTGCCTATTTGTCGTGTAACACTTTTTCTCCAAAGTGTCAAGACAGGAGGTTCTATTTCTCGTCAAACCCATGATCATACATGCGATACTTTAACTGTCATAGCTTGTAAAGAGCACATTGTACCACTGGGTCATTATCTAAACTTGAAAGAGGTAAAGTTAAAATTGGAAACGCACAAATTGTGGTATAACAATTTTCATGTGTTGATATTTACAGAACCAATTGATTCTTATGTATGATTATTACTGATCAATGTAAATAACCATTTTATTATATCCCACGCACAAAGTTTGGGGGCACCAAGGAATACCTAGATAAGATGAACCAGGGGTTGGGGAGAGGATATCTTTGGGAGCTAATCTCACTCACAGTTTCTCTAGCTATTACTGAACTGAAGTTATTTTTTGCAGACATCCTGTGATATATAATTCTTACTTTGCGGCCGGAAGTGATCCCGAGTTTCTTGTAAGCCCCCAGTCTGGAGAACTCCTGCCACAGGGGACAAATGGAACCCTGCTGAAAATCAGTTTCAAACCTGCTGTCTACGGCAAACTGTATCAGGCTAAACTGATTGTACAGGTGTGTACTATATAAAAGATACTGGTGCTGCTAATTCCATACATGTCATTGCTGTATCTAATCTCTTTGATACTGTCAGGGAGAATATAAACATATTTAATTGGTACCTACATGTATCAACATAATTTGTTTGATTGCAACTAGTTTGCAATTTTTAAAAAAATGGTACAATATGTACTTCTAAAAATAGGCCTTTTCAAATATTAAAATTACTCCATACACATCCATTCTAGAAAAAATTGCAGTTGTCACTATAAACTGTGATACTAAAAGGTATGTTGCTCGTTTTTACTTGACATCTTCTGGCTAGCATAATTACTGAAAATGAGGATGTTGAACAATGTCTTGTAATGTAACCCATTTGTGTGTTTTAGACACCAGACATGCAGTGGAGCTACAACGTAAAGGGTGTGCTGCCCCAGTACAACCCACCCCGGGGGATCTCCACCCAGCCCATGGCTGGGCCACACCCTGATCCCAGACTCAGGATGGAACGAGTCAACTACATCCGGGAAAACATTCGATTACTTACAACTGCAGTGTCTTCACCAATCAAGGGAGCGAATGTAGTCCCTCGTAAACTTGTCCATTTCTCGTGATGTTAATAACAGGATTTGAAAATTTATTTTAGGAAGAATAAATTATTTCAGTTGACATTTCAAGACAAAGTTTCAGGAATTTATTATAAACAGTGGTAAAAAAAGCAAAAGATTGTGACGATTGTGAATGATTTGAAAGTTATTGAAGTGCTGATGTGAAATTCATGAAATAGACAATATAGAAGCCATTGAATTTGTTAAAAGAATGTACTTGTTACTGATAAGAACTGTGATATTTGTTGAGAGATATTAAAGTGATCTATAATAAAGTTATAAAAGGATACAAAATCAGAGCAATCAGTGATTAGGAAACATAGCATAAGAATTTATGTATAAAAGGTTATTTTAGTTATAAAGAAAGGTTGTAGTTTTTTATGGTTTTTGTCTTGTGCATTATCATAAGTGTATAAATCATGTCAAAGTATTTATAATAGTTTTAAACAATGCTCTCCTGAGACTTGAACTGCATTATCTCCCTTTGTATAAATTGAATTGTTGATATTGTATATTGCAGTATTATGTAAATCACAATATGCCAATTAGTAACCAAAATATCTGGTCTTCACTTCCAGATAACAAAGATAAAGCATTCTATGATTAACACACTTTATAAAATGGAAAAGTACATATTTGTGATATACTATATGGTGCGAGGGTATACCTACATGCCCAGTAGTAAACACTTGCTGCTGTTTCACACACTCAAGCATTAAATATTTACCAATATTATACATATTTTCTACTTTAAATTTTGATTTGTGATAATTTGAAGAGCAGTTAACCTTGGTCCGTCCATTTGATTTTGAGATGTACAGAACTATCTATTTGATGATGTAACTAAATCTTGTTATCACATCCGGGATATTTATTAAAGAGTTGTATATATTCAATCCCTTTTTAATTTGGTTTGATAATGCCAAATTTCCATATGTGATGTTGTATATTTCATACATGTGTAAATATTCAGCATTATGTCAGTCCTGTGATATCAACCGTGTACTAATTGTATAGGTTACATAATCAGGTACTTTAATATTGACGACAGTGCGATATATAATGGAGAATAGAACTACAGCTCCATCCAAACTCTGGTACACATGATATTCTGTCGGCTGTTTAATGCCCTGTAGAACTACATTATCTGTTGTCGTTTATGATACTGTAGGCTTAACACTACCAGATTCAGACTCTTGTATGTCAAAAGCTGAACACTTTGTATAAGTGATCCGTTAAACTATAAACTTTTGTTGAAGTTTAAAAGTTGTATAAATATATATATTTTCTTGTGAAATAAAGTAAGATCTGTACATGTATTTGATTGTTCACTTATCATTTCTTTACATGTTCAAATTGATAATAATGATGGAAGCACATATTTGTACATCCTTTGTTCAGGTTAAGGGTACCAACCCATCAGTAATAATTACTAAAAACAACAAGAGTACCGCGGGGCGGAACAAATACGCCCGTCAAATGCCATATAGTGTTATATACTTTCTTACATTGAAATAAGATCTGCATCATTCTAAGAGTGGTTAGCTGATATGCTATAAAAAATGTAGGAGAAAATCTTTGGACAAAAAATCAAATACTGAAATGAACAAAAGGCAATAACTTTTGGAAAAATTGTTGAATCAAAATTCTTTTAAGGGAGACACAACTTCATATCATGATTATAATATACACCTTGTTTCAAAGAAAACGGTCGAAAAATGTAGGAGGAGATCTCTGGACAAAACTCAAATACTGAAATGAACAAAGGGCAATACATTTTGGAAAAATTGTTGAATCAAAATTCTTTTACGGGAGACACAACTTCATATCATGATTATAATGTATACCAAGTTTCAAATAGATCGGTCGAAAAATGTAGGAGGGGATTGCTGGACAAACAAAGTTTATGCCCAACCATAATACTACCGTCAAATTTGACGGTTGTATAATGAAAAATAAAAAGTTCCACTCAGAACCATTTTTTGACTTCTCTCTTCTATACAAATAAAACCTTTTTTTTACTGGCTTGAAGTGACTTTCCTCGTCAAGGTATTCATCTCTTAAAGTTTGATGGTTTTTCCTCGACCATAAAGACCATAAGTTTGGCTCTCATTTTGATGCTGTGCACTTCAATTCCTGGCAAATTGAAGGTCTGGAGTTTGACCACTGTGCAACGATTTTGTTTATTTTTGTTGTTTTTAAATCTGTCACAAGATGCGATTTATGAGGAATATTTCAGTAGAAAAGGACTAGAACATTATTTCATAGAGTTCTTTCTGGTTTGGAGTAACTTCTCTTTTAAAGTTTTTCGTATGCTTCATGGCCTATAACTTCGACATGCTGTGTTGGCACACCTCTTGCATGGCAACTTTGGTCAAGTGCAAGCTTTGTAATGTAAATTTTGTAAATGTTTCCAGTTTAAACCCTGCAGTCTTTACAATAGCGACAATTGTAATAATATATTTAACTTCTCGATGCCCACAATTGTAATAATGAAATTTAACTTCTTGATGCCCACAATTATTGTAATAATCGGATGCCCACAATTGTAATAATGTAATTTAACTTGTTGATGTCCACAATTTTAATAATGTAATTTAACTTGTGTGATGCCTACAATTGTAGTCATGTTATTTAACTTGTGTGATGCCTACAATTGTAATAATATAATTTAACTTGTTAATGCCTACAATTGTAATAATGAAATTTAACTTGTTGATGCCTACAATTGTAATAATGAAATTTAACTTGTTGATGCCTACAATTGTAATAATGAAATTTAACTTGTTGATGCCTACAATTGTAATAATGTTATTTAACTTGTTGATGCCTACAATTGTAATAATGTTATTTAACTTGTGTGATGCCTACAATCGTAATAATGTTATTTAACTTGTGTGATGCCTACAATTGTAATAATGTAATTTAACTTGTTGATGTCCTTTACCTAAATGGTGTTTTAAAAGAAAGCAATTCTACAATATTAGTGCTTTATAACCTTTATTGATCTGACAGTTCCATTGTTGACAGTAACATCAATGTGTTCAAGTAACACCAATGTGCTGATAGTAACACCAATGTGCTGATAGTAACATCAATGTGATGACAGCAACATCAATGTTTAGATAGTAACATCAATGTATCGACAGTAACATCAATGTTTAGATAGTAACATCAATGTTTTGATAATAACATCAATGTGTTTATATTAACATCATCGTGTTGACAGTAACATCAATGTTTAGATAGTAACATCAATGTGTTGACAGTAACATCAATGTGTTTATAATTACAACAATGCGATGACAGTGACATCAATGCTCTGATAGTAACATCAATGCAATGACAGCGACATCAATGCTCTGATAGCAATATCAACATGTTATTTCCTGTAGTAACATCAATGCCAGTAAAAAATGTTAACGTTTTATAACATGACCAAGAATTCTATGCCAACAAAACAATTCAACATCTTTAGCACCGTTTACTACTAAACACTTCCTTATCCAACAATCTCAGCAAGATACATTTAAACTGAAAACCCCATTTCAATTTTGGTTGAAAACATTTCTGATTCTAAAGTAAACAGGTGGTGATCTGATCTATCAAATGAACACTAACAGTGTGATGAAAGGATACATTTAAAGCAAAAAATACATTGCTTAAAAACTGAGAAAACAATGCTTTAATCCCCGATTCAGATAGATATATACAGTAATCAATTTGACAACCAACCTTATTTGTATCAAACAATTCCGTATCGAATCGAGAATAGTACTTCCCACCATGTAAGAGATGAGCAATAGTAAACAGGACCTGTTTGTTAATATTAATTAGATTGCCAAAGAACTCTCTTTACAACACACCATTTCGCTTTTATCCAACATCTATCTACTGATCGGATATTTTTAGACCCACCTGTACAAGATATGAATATAAATTTCCAATTAGGGCTCTGATGAGGCTGAACAAAATACATAATATAAATAGATGTCACAGATTAAGCATTCACTACACAATATATGTTGTTGTCAAATGTAATACATTTTTAATTTAAAGGATGGTAAAAATTAACAGTATGCTCATACATGTATGTCTAAACATTGACTGGCATCCAATGCCAAATACTCACTTTGCTCTGTACGAGTATTCCTCATACAGGATAGAAAATTTGATTCAGTATTATGCTGTTGCAAAAAATTCTGCTCGCACGTTCTTTTCAATTCTGCAACGACAACCCAACAACAGTAGTATCGAATAACAGACCCAGTGATTTTTTGAGAACCCATTATATCTCTAAGTAAGCGGACTCCATCAAAATTTGAAAAAGAAAAATGTTCAGGACTAGCCTGAACAATTTGTACAAAAATCACTGCAAACATTGAAGTGAACAACATCACTTTTATGTTTTACAACGCATTGAAGTACATTCAACACCAGACAGTACATTCGGTGTACATGCAGAATAACTTAATTTTCCAAACATGTCTCCAAGTGTTGACCGATTATCCTCAACTACGTATACTGATCCACACACAAATAGAGTCAAATTTGTGCCCTTTCACCGATTTACATTCACTACTTATCCATGGGCCTGTTCGTTAAGCAGAACAATTGGTTTGTCTGCTTTCAAATGTAACAATTGCGGGTATAAATCCTGGTGGACTGGACCTAAATATTCATGCAGGCCTTGCAAGGCTTTGTCATGGCTTGTCTGAAAGCAGCATCAGATTACTAGGTCTGACCTTGTTTTTAAGACGAACAACCCTGGCCCAACCGTTTGGATCGTGATAAAGGAAAGCAGCCCTGGTCAATATGTTTGTACCACACCACTATACATCACAACATCCCAGATCAATGTAGAATTGGGGAAAATGCCTCCTTCTATATATTCCAGAATGTTAATTTCAAATGTCGGAGTTACATGAAATTACCGGTTATCTCAAATCTGTCCTAAAGTTTTGTCATATACAGATTTGTTAAACATCTTTATCTACATGGTTCAGTTTAATGTAGATTTTGTCGTTATGATACGAAGTTTGTATTATTTTCTGTTAATGATCTAATCACTGTCAAACTTGATGGAGTGAGTGGACATGTCAATGGGTCCTCCGCGGTAACTTCCACGCTTTTTCTTGGTCTTTTCATGCCTGAATGATTTGCCCTTGGTGTGCTTGAGATCGTGATTGGCCCTTTCTCCCCATGATCCTTTGGATCCAGACTGTTAAGACAAGACATAAACAGCTGAATTAGTTTTTACATTAACTTGTGGTCATATAATGATGCATTTTTATAGGTACCTTCAAGTTAACCATCAATTTGTACAGTTAGGAACCAATGTGTTTGCGTCAAAAAACCCAGGAGAAATCATCCATTTCACGACTCCTGGAAAAACAACGCTTTACTCTGAGCTATCATACATATGTAAGTGAAGTATCTTCGTTGCAATTATCCCATGATAACCTACATGTAAGTATCGTGAACTATTTCTGAATTATATAATAATGTCATTCTCATAAAACACAATGTCTGACTTCAGTTCCTGCTAACTTTAAGTTTTGGTAATCCTCCCCTTAGAAAACCACTTACAAATCGATACGAAGTGAGTAAATGTCTCAAAGTTACAACCCTTAAGCTTGTTATCAGAATTTGAAGTGGCACAGAACATATTTTAACACACGATAGTTAAGTCCTATAGATGCACGTATGGGAGGCCTTGTGTGTTCACAGAACAGAAGTAATGATAAGAAGCCATCATAGATTCAGATTTTGTTGGGTAGAGTTGTCTTCATTAGTTCTCAGACCCGAAAGATATTCATCATTCTATAAATAGCTTCAGTACATGGAATTACTGTTTCTTAAAAAACTATAACAACATCTCAGAACGTACTCAAACATCAAGTTTCAGTTATTGTATTATATATTTTCTGCAGAGTTTTGGTATTAAATCTATTGCATGATTAAAAATTTTGATAATAAATTACTAAAATAAAGATTAACTAGGCTAATAAATGGGTTGCATCTCTTAAAATGATTAAGTTCAATGTTTTATGGATTTATAATCAGTCTGGCCTAGATTAAATAAGTTCCCCTGATTATAAAACGTTTTTCCACAGCTTCATGCTACAAACCTTAGCTTCAAATGAGTTATCTCCCAGACGAGAATCCACACTTATATCCTCCGTCTTCACACGACGGAACGGAGTATTGGGAGTTTTCTGAAAAAATCAAAGCACAATTGTTATAGTGCAAACAGAAAATAGCTTACCAAAGCATTTGATGTGTGTAGCATGAGGCAGCACATCAACGTCAGACCAGCTAATAATAATAATGTCAGTAACAAGCAGTTGTCTTTTGTAGGTAGGACATTTTCATTATCTTTTACTCTCTATAGGTATTAACCATTCAGAAAATAATTTCCATTCATTGCACAAAATCGTTTTATTCAATCTAAACTTCCAAAGTTTGAATTAAATAGCTTTATTTCAGTACATCAATCCTCTTGACAAGAGTACTTACATTACTTTTAGGAGTTCGCCTCTTTGAATCTTGGTCCGTTGGGGTCTTAAAACCTTCTCCATTCACTGTGGGCGACACCTGTACAAACAACAATTAACCTTTACACACTGATGGCTGAAGAAAAAACATGACAAGCATTTAATACCGATTATCAGATCCAAAACGACATTGGGAATTAAGTGATGGATGTTCTGTTTAATATGATGATATAACTTATCTATATATAAAATACAATAACTCAAATTGATACTATTTAGATCAAGCTCGGAAATAAATGCACATCATCTCTACTTTCTTCCTCAAATATAAAAAAAAAATTGTCATCTCTTTAACGGAAATTTGTTTTTATTCAAGTCAAATGTCAATTATCCAAAGAAAGAGTGTGTATTGCAATTAGAAGGTGATCAAGAAAGAAACAGAAAATACACCAGACATCGCTCACATAAAAGTTTCCTTAAAGTGTAGGTAAATAATTATCAAAAGGGCATGCAAGTTTTTCAAGAACTGAACACAAACAAGCACATCAAAGCACAGGTGTTATAAACAGCATAACAGATGATGGATTTATAGCTTACTTTCAGAATTTTCAAAACAATTACTGGTTGACAAAGACCAAATTTCATGAACATATTCATCCCTAAAGCCACATTTTACCCTTACCAAATTGAAGCCTGGGTAAGTCCAGTTTAACAATATAGAGGTGAATGGGTTAAAAATATTTTGAGTAGAGGCATGTTTTGAAATCTGTCAGGTTAAAGCAAGCAGTTTATTTCGGGTCTAATTCTTTTACTCTGCAGTTAGTACAATGTAACATGTATTAGTGAACTGAATCACGAGTGGTATATCAAAGTTATAATGCTATATATGCTGTCAGTATAACATAATGCTTGTTTACTACTCTATAGTATAAGTGAACTGAATCATGAGTGGTATATCAAAGTTATAATGCTATATATATATGCTGTCAGTATAACATAATGCTTGTTTACTACTCTATAGTATTAGTGATCCGAATCATGACACTGACAGGTAATAAATAAGTAATGATGCTATATGTTTACTAATCTACAGTATTAGTGAATTGAGGCACTGTATTCACCTTTTTAACTTCTCCGTTGGAGGACACCCCAGAATCATGGTCATCAGAATCGTCACCCTTCCCTTTCACAGCTGGAGTTGACGTTACCGGAGGTTTTTTTGTTTCGGTTTCAGACTCTGAGCTGTCTGAATCCGATGAGGAAGAATCTTTCTTAATTTTGGATATGTTTAGAGATTTGGGTGTGGATTTAGTCTTTTTGGTAGAATCGTCTTCTGAAGTATCAGAGTCACTTGAACTACTAGAATCTTGTGCTTTCTTTTTGGGGACTTTACTTACACTAGATGGCGTTACTGCTTTTTTCTTTATATTCGATTTTTCATCCTCATCTGAACTAGAGTCACTTGAATCACTACTGCTTTCATCCTTTTACTTGGCTGGTGTTGCTTTAGCGGGTGTGGCTGACTTTTTAGCAGGCGTTACCTTTGCCTTCGATTTTTCATCCTCATCTGAACTAGAGTCACTTGAATCACGTCTGCTATCATCCTTTTTCTTGGCTGGTGTTGTTTTAGCGGGTGTAACTGCCTTTTTAGCAGTTGTTACCTTTGCTTTAGATTTCACATCTTCATCTGATCTAGAGTCACTTGAATCACTACTGCTATCATCCTTCTTCTTGGCTGGTGTTGCTTTAGCGGGGGTGGCTGCCTTTTTAGCAGGCGTTACCTTTGCTTTCGATTTTTCATCCTCATCTGAACTAGAGTCACTTGAATCACGTCTGCTATCATCCTTTTTCTTGGCTGGTGTTGGTTTAGCGGGTGTAACTGCCTTTTTAGCAGTTGTTACCTTTGCTTTAGATTTCACATCTTCATCTGATCTAGAGTCACTTGAATCACTACTGCTATCATCCTTTTTCTAGGCTGGTGTTGCTTTAGCGGGTGTGGCTGACTTTTTAGCAGGCGTTACCTTTGCCTTCGATTTTTCATCCTCATCTGAACTAGAGTCACTTGAATCACTACTGCTATCATCCTTTTTCTTTGCTGGTGTTGCTTTAGCGGGTGTGGCTGCCTTTTTCGCAGGCGTTACCTTTGCTTTCGATTTTTCATCCTCATCTGAACTAGAGTCCCTTGAATCACTACTGCTATCATCCTTTTTCTTGGTTGGTGTTGCTTTAGCGGGTGTGACTGCCTTTTTATCAGGTGTTACCTTTGCTTTAGATTTCACATTTTCATCTGAACTAGAGTCACTTGAATCACTACTGCTTTCATCCTTTTACTTGGCTGGTGTTGCTTTAGCGGGTGTGGCTGGCTTTTTAGCAGGCGGTACCTTTGCTTTCGATTTTTCATCCTCATCTGAACTAGAGTCACTTGAATCACGTCTGCTATCATCCTTTTTCTTGGCTGGTGTTGGTTTAGCGGGGGGAACTGCCTTTTTAGCAGGTGTTACCTTTGCTTTAGATTTTTCATCCTCATCTGAGCTAGAGTCACTTGAATCCCTACTGCTATCATCCTTTTTCTTGGTTGGTGTTGCTTTAGCGGGTGTGACTGCCTTTTTATCAGGTGTTACCTTTGCTTTAGATTTCACATCTTCATCTGAACTAGAGTCACTTGAATCACTACTGCTATCATCCTTTCTCTTTGCTGGTGTTGCTTTAGCGGGTGTGACTGCCTTTTTATCAGGTGTTACCTTTGCTTTAGATTTCACATTTTCATCTGAACTAGAGTCACTTGAATCACTACTGCTATCATCCTTTTTCTTGGCTGGTGTTGGTTTAGCGGGTGTAACTGCCTTTTTAGCAGGTGTTACCTTTGCTTTAGATTTCACATCTGCATCTGAACTAGAGTCACTTGAATCACTACTGCTATCATCCTTTTTCTTTGCTGGTGTTGCTTTAGCGGGTGTGGCTGCCTTTTTAGCAGGTGTTACCTTTGCTTTAGATTTTTCATCCTCATCTGAGCTAGAGTCACTTGAATCACTACTGCTATCATCCTTTTTCTTGGTTGGTGTTGCTTTAGCGGGTGTGACTGCCTTTTTAGCAGGTGTTACCTTTGCTTTAGATTTCACATCTTCATCTGAACTCGAGTCACTTGAATCACTACTGCTATCATCCTTTTTCTTGGCAGGTGCAGTTATTTTAGTTGATGCTACCGGCTTCTTGGCTGTTGGTTTCTTTTCATCTTCTGAGCTGGAATCACTCGAGTCACTACTGCTGCTATCGGCTTTCTTGGCAGGGGCTTTCTTTATAATCTGTTTTGGAGCAGGTTTAGCTTTCTTCTTTGAATCACTATCAGAGTCTGAAGAGTCACTGCTAGAATCACTGCTACTGTTGTCTTCAGCTTTCTTTGCAGGGACATTAGCCTTTGTTGGCATAGCCTTGCTGTCTGGCTTAGTTTTCACAGCTGGTTTATCCTCATCAGAACTGGAATCACTGGAGTCATCACTGCTGCTCTCTGCCTTCTTCTTCTGTGCCGTCTTTGCTCCAGTCAATTTGGTTTTCTTCACTTTCTTGCTACTTTCCTCTGATGAGCTAGACTCAGAATCACTGTCACTGCTATCAGTTTTCTTTGTCACAGGAGTACTTGCAGCCTTTGCTTTCGCCTTTGCTTTAGGATCCTCTTCATCCGAGCTTGAATCTGAACTGGAACTTGATGACTCTTGCTTGGCCTTTTTACTGGGAGTAGGTTTGATTGCAGAAGGTTTAGTGGAAGTAGACGCCTTCTTCTTCTTGTCATCATCTGAGCTATCTGAAGTAGAACTGTCTGAACTGCTGCTGTCCTTAGCGGGCCGTTTCTTGGAGTTTTGCTTTGCATCACCAGTGGGTGTTGGACTGGCCAAACTTGAAGGTGGTGGAACATTGCCATACTTGGCCTTAGACTTCATTGGTTCTTCATCCGTGTCGGAACCACTACAAAATACAACAGTAGTTATTAAACAAATGTTTATAAAGTAAAAGTGTAAGTGTGCAAGAGGTATGGATGATTAAGAAAATTTATTTGTTTTAATGTCCCTCTCTTTATTTTATTGTTCCAAATACACGATATACACACATGGAACCTCCATCAATGATACATGTGACCCAAATCTTACCTCGAGTCATCACTGCTGGAATCAGCTGTCTTCAGTTTTTTTGCCACTCCCCCTTCTGAAGCAGACTGCTTTCTTTTTCCTCCAGATCTAAAACGAAATTTCATACGATCAAATACACTCTAGAATAATTCCATTTAATCATTTGGTTGAACAAGGATTGCTTCTTGTAATAAACAAATTTGACATTGATCACTTAAATTTAATATCACCCAAAAGTGAAATTTTGTTTTATAACATTCAAAATACATACATTTTCAATCACAACTTCCAATGACTCTGATTAATATTGTATTTTTGAAAATATACTGGACTGTCGATTTTTAGACAAGTACGAAAGCATTGACAGGGATGTACAATTTCACTGGCCCGATGCCTGGGGACAGTAGTTTTTATGTTTGGGCTATCCAAGGCAATCTTTTTGTCTTTATATTTGATGCATTTTATTTGGCCATGGATTTCCAAGTTCTATTTGCCAGGAGCAAGTGCATTAAAAGGAAATTTGTACACCCTTAAGAAAGTTTCATCAAAATCAAAGCATTCCTTCAAGGACAGAATATTGAGCATGGAAATCGTAATTTATGAGAATTTAGAACTTTATGAATATTCTGGTTTGTATAAATCACTGTATTTCAAATAATATAAGACTCTTTCATGCCCAGGTGAGCAGGATAGGGAAATTCAACCCGAAGAGTTTTCAAATTTGCCTCAGGTTTGAAACAAAATTGATAACCCCTCGGGTGGAATTTTCCTATTCTTCACCTTGGGCATGAAAGAATATTTTTCTATCATTCCAACTAGTATCATCACGTTGCCTTTTCTGTTTTGCGGCATCGGTGTTTCCCAAATTCGTGACATCATTATTGAGCCATTGCGACGTCACGTTACGTAAAATGGGGTGTAGGATAGAAATTTCCTACGCCCCTTTCTTACCCTGGACAGCTCTATCTTAAACACATGGAAATGAGAGAAAAGTTTATGCAGAGCCCTGATTGAGGGTAAAGGTTTAGATCCTTCATTTAAAACATTTTAATATATAGTGAATATCTTAACAACCACACAAAACTTACTGATTCCAGTGACTGTAAAGTTCTTGCAGTTTTGGAGAGCCACTTTCAGGAGGATTCTGAAAAAAAAATGACAAGATAGAAACATTTGCTAAATAATGCATATACAGTGTTTTTCCTGTCTAGATAATTGGGATCAGTAATGGACACCATCCCCAACACTTTTCCCCCAAGAATGGTGTATCTGGTGGAACTGACAGTTCTCAGCAGGGTGCCTGTGATGTCAATGAAATTCACAAAGATTAACAGTGTCACAGTCAGTCCGACTTGAACTGAATAGTCCTTATGCTAAGATTGGAACATACAAGTAGTTTTTCTTAGTTGAAATTCAAAAGCATAAAAAATCAGTGGTTCGCTTAAGATAAACAAAAATATCTCATATACAAAATTTGCGACCTTGTTCACAGTAAAGAACTGACAATTCATCAAACAGTCCCTTTCATTTGTCACTTCATTATGTTACAAGTTAAATTTTGAATTCAGTTTTATTCCCAAATTAAAAGATTACATACTTCAATACTGCTTCATGTTTGATAATGTTGATTATTTTAAATTACCCTGTACATGTCCATCAATCAATTCCATCATTTTTATCTTCTTATTTTACTATTCTGCCCATTTCGTAGTTGCTATCATGATTGTAAAATTTCTGCAGTTTTTACAAAGTTTGCTGACCAACACATAATTTCTCAACACTTCAAATAGTTTCCAAAACCTGAAAAAATTATTCCCAAAACCAGGAAAAACCCAGACCATAAAGTAAGTAAGATATATTCAATAACAAGTCAACGATAACGTTGTTGTTATTAGTTCTGTCTTTCGTTTTCACTCGGTCAACAGGTCTAGTACACTCTGTCGTTTGAGCTATATAGCTATATTCACTTATGAGTTATAGCTGTATTGAACTATCTTTTCTCCAATTTCAATTTTCATTAAATAAATAAAGCAAAGTCGCATAAAACTGTAAGGTTTATGGTAATGTTGACTACAAAAAGGATTTTTACATCAATATTTTTTAAAAAGAATACTTATATCTAATGTCTTTTGTTATCGAACTTATGATAAAATCTTCTTTCAAAAGTGACTTCGTTTCGTTTTCCTAAAAAAAGAACATCACATGAAAATAGCTCAAAAGACCCTATTTCAGTTAGATCAAAATGCTTTACAGCTATATAGCTCAATCGGCAGACTGTACTGGACCTGGTCAATGGACTTAAGGCTTCAAAATACTGATCAGAGCTTTTGAAGCCTGCGAATATGCATTATATGGTCAGTTTTAGCGGACTATACCAGTATACGTACACGACCGGCAACCACCGCCCACCTGTAGAAATATTCAAGACTGCAGATTTTATCACGAACATAATGGTTGTTATATCAGGAGTCCATGTCACACTATCTTGGACCTTAAATGAAAGTAGGAATCTTGCCAAAAATATAATACTTTAAAAACCATGAGCAGTAGGAATTTGAAAGCCACGTGCTCCTCTGTTTACCACAATGAGTCGAGTCTCATGTTCTGACATCGGCAGCATGTGGAGCGTACATATCGTAGATTTATAAAACTTACAATTTTGAGTTTCTTTTTTAAGTTGTCGGCTACGTCTTTGCATGTTGATTTCAGATATTCATAGACCATCGGCAATAAAGTCGAGGACCCGGTTTCGCCACTAGAAGCCATTGCAACACGCGTGTAAAAAGGACAGGATGTGACGTTGTGTGAAAAATCTGCGTTTTGGTGACGCTTTGTTTTGTTGAAATCAGTCAGCGTTTAAAAAAATGCCCGAAAAATCCCGAATCTCAATTGAAGACCCAAAGATGGGGAAAACACATTTTTGCTCGTTATGATCAAGAAAATACCTTTATTTTGACCATCTTGGAATTTGAAGTGTAACATTTAACTTTCGATCATTTTGTACGGGCACGGAATTAGATTATCTAAGTCCGTGGTACGGGGAAGAAATTGTACAACATTGAAGGTTAATGATAAAAACATTAAAAGCATTTCAACAGCTAACTTAGAGGCTCATCATTTCCCAGTGTTTTGTCAGATAATTTTCACATTCTATCATTTCATCTTTCCATAATCTCCATTGTCTATCGGCCTTATTTTCAATACCTTTTCAGGTTCGATTTTCGTTCTAAGCCGGTATTTTTTTGGAGGTTTGCCACTCTAACTTGAGGTGTCTGGTTAGAATCAATAGAGATAACTTGCCACTTCCGTCGTGCATGCAATTTTTAGGATCCCTTATAATTAAGTTAACTGTTTTATTTCTTATCTATATGAGCAGAGACGTAATATACGCCTCTGATATGAGATAACACGAAGAGTAAAATAGATCCAGGATATGTACATGGTTAGATAGAAACAATACGAGAGTTGTCTATCTTTGTTCAGTTGAGTCGTCGATCAAGTGGAGTCAACTATGTCAAATGTACACATGAAAGTCAATAAAGACGGTTTATATTTGTTGGAACAACCCAACGGTTATGTCCGCTAAACTGATACTGTCACAGTTTTACTGTCTGTTTTTAAATGTAACATTTCGGATATTAATACTAGCGGACCTGCAAATGTTTATGCAGGCCTTGAAAGCAGCACCAGTTTACTAGGTTCTAGGTCCTACCTTATTTGATAAACGAACAACACGGGTACAGCCGGTTTAACCGTTTGGATAGCAGTAAACGTAAACGGCATTGTAGTGTCTGAGAAAGTTGTTTTTTTGTAATACTTGTTCGAATATGACTTCGTTAATTATGTTCAGCTCAATTTCGGTCTTTATTGTTGATTGATTGATGCAATACGTATACTTCACAGATTGAAAAATACAATACGGTGATAAAAATGACACCGAGGAAACAGATTGGCTACACCATTTCCTAATTAGGAATAAACAGTTTATATCACAATGCTGTTTTAATGACGTCACAGTAAGATTAATTCATGACGTCAGCTTTCTATTGTGTTACATACATGGCAACCCGAGACTGCGATCGGACAGTTGGTCACAGGAAGGTAGGAGCGAGGGACTGGTGCAGGATTGTCGCGGTTATTATCGACAGGTAATGTTAGGGTCAGTGTTTGGTCAGTTACATGATTGTATGTTTCCCGATACGAGCAGAAACTTTTCAGAGATGCATTTGATAAGGTTGATAAAACCGGACAAAAGTGTTAACAAAATCGAGTGACGACTATCACTAAAGTACATCATATGATATGTTGTACTTCTTAAAGGCCAGACGGGTATACGTAAGGGGTGATGTGCCAAGATAATCTCAGAAATATAACAACTGCAGAAAATGGTTATAATGGAAAAGAGATATCATCTGTTGCTATGATGCAGTAGACCAATGTCCCCGTAAACAGACGACACAGGTGTTCCCACAAAATTCATTTCTTGTGATCAGTACCTATTTTGTTATGAAGGGCAAGATTCATGACCAGTGATGTTTCCTCACATGAAAATATCCAGGATTTACAACTACAAAAGAGTTAGACTGTATAACGGAAGAAGATCTTAGTCTTGTCAAATATTCCAGTATCAACATTACTACTCTAGGCCATTCTAAGTATGTGGCAGGTTGATTTGTAAGAAGATGTATAGTTCTAAGCTTGTATGGTCGATATTAATGGGTACACCAAGATCACATTGGAAAATATCACTTGTGCTTCCAGCTTCAAAATCGTTCATTGCCCGTGACTCCACCGAACATCCGATTCTTGAATGCTATAAACCTACCTTCAAGTTATACATATAGCTCCTATAACGGTGCCAAACATGCACAATAACTAGAATAAAGAAGTGTTAGATAATCCCGAATTAGGGGGAAAGTAGAAGTCTTGTCTTATTGCGTATTTGAAGGCAAATCGATCCTACCATTATCACGATGGTTGCTTTTACACAAAGATACACAGATAGAAATAGTGCCGCCCAGCTTCATCGCTCCTTGCCTGTGACGCAACCATTACCATGCTGCTGGAATACGATGACGTCAAAGGAATCTTCATCTGACCCACGCAGACAACTGTTAGCTCAAGTAAGTGTCTTCTTTTTAATATAATATATATGTTTGATGAATTGTGATATCGTGCAACAATTCGCCAAAAACTACAGGAGTTGTCTATCTTAGTTCAGTTGTTCGGACATAAACATAAAGAGTTGCATTAACCGGTCTACACGTACACGTGTATAAGATCCGACATATTGGATTGCAAGTAATTATCAATTATGTAATAATATATCAAAATACACAAAATCACATATAACTTGTATAATTTTACTAACTCATTATACACATAGAGGGTTTATCGATTTTCGAATAAAAAGAGATTATCCCTATTCTAATATAAACATAGAAGGAATTATGTGCATATACAAAATTCGATAAAACATAAATTGTATTATCCCTATTCTTATATTTATTAACATAAATTGGATTGTCCCTATTCTTATTTAAATATATAAAGTATTATTCCTATAAAAATTCTATAAAAACATTGAGGGAGGTATCCCTCTTCTAATATAAGGAAATAGGAGATTGTTCCTGCTATAATTAAATATAAACATATGTATGGGCTGCTCACGATAGTTTGACCTTAATCAGGACAAATTCTTATTTCCTTTTTTGGTAATGCAAACGTGTGTAAATATAATGAACACATTTCGTGATGGCAATTTCATATTCTTCCTATAAAAAGAAACAGTGTTGTGCAAGGGAAAAGACCCTAATAGATCAAATACAGGAACTGGAAAATGAGAATAATGTAGACTTAGACAAGTTACTTGAGAGAAAAAAGGGAATTGGAAAAGATTAGAGTACATTGGATAAAAGGGAGTATAATACGTGCAAAAGCCTTATGGATTTATGAGGGTGAAAACCTACCAATCATTTTTTTAATTTAGAAAATAGACATTTTATATCAAAAATCATTCCAAAGTTACCACGGGAGAATGGGGAATTTCTAACTAAACAAGTAGATGTTTAAAATGAGGTGAATTTATTTTATGAACAATTGTATTCTATTGATAATGAAGTCGATGACATAGATTTGGATCCATTTTTAGAAGATTTTGATGTTCCAAGATTAAATGATAAAGAAGCGGTCAGTTTGGAAAGTATTATTACAGTTAAAGAAGCATCTGAAACACTAAATAATAAGAGCCCAGGCTCAGATGGATTCACATCGGACTTTTTTAATGTTTTTGGAATCAGTTAGGTAATTTTGTGGTTAGGGCATTAAATTATGGTTTTTCAAACGGTCAGCTGTCTATTACACAACGTCAGGAAATAATTACTTGTATACCTAAGGCTAATAAATCAAAGTATTTTATAAAGAATTGGAGACCTATTTCTCTATTAAATATTGAATACAAAATTGCTTCTGGATCAAAGCAAGTATATTCAAATTAGTTTTACAAAACATTATAAACTCTGATCAGACAGGATTTATATCGGGACGTTATGTAGGAGAAAATACCCGCCTGGTTTATGACAATATACAGAGGAAAATGATCTCCCTGGAGAGTTATTAATGGTTGATTTTGAAAAGGCTTTCGATTCTGTCTATTAGAAATTCATAGACGAAGTACTTAGATATTTTGGATTTGGAAACGATATCAGAAATTGGGTCAAAGTTTTACACTGTAATTCAAGTTCTTCTATAAACCAGGGGGGTAATTATCAGCATTTTTCAAAATAGATCGTGGTTGTCGTCAAGGAGATCCGACCGCTCCATATATGTTTATACTATGTGCAGAAGTATTAGCAATCCGCCTTAGAAACAATAAGAGTATAACTGGTATAAATGTTAATAACTGTCCCATCTTAAACTCTCAGTATGCAGATGACATTCTCTGATATTAGATGGTTCTGAAAAATCACTGAAAGGGGCGGTTGGTGAACTAAATACTTATGCAAAAATATCTGGTCTTAAAATAAATGTAGGTAAAACTGAAGTTGTCTGGATAGGCAGTAAAAATTACAGCAATGATGTTCTCCTTCCAAATATGAATCTTAGATGGGGAGTTGATAAATTGACTCTTCTTGGGATAGATTTCCATGTAGATCTTTACAAAATTACAAAATACCTAAAATGAAATTTGATATAAAAAAAGTTAAACTCAAAGCTCTTAATGAGAGCTGGAGTAGAAGGTTGCTCACGCCTATTGGTAGAATTAATATCATTAAATCTTTATCAATTTCTCAGATGAATCATCTGTTTATTTCCTTACCTAATCCATCTGAAAATTTTATAAAACAGCTCAATTCTGTTCTTTTCAATTTTGTTATGGAATAGCAAAACTGATAAGATTAAACGGGACATAATTATTCAAAATTATCAAGAAGGTGGGCTTAAAATGGTTAATTTAATGTCTTTTATTGAAGCTCTGAAAATAAGTTGGTTAAGAAGTTTTTTTTAAATCAGAAGGTAAATGGGTAAGCATTTTAAAATCTTGTGTAAATCCTCATATCTTGGCTAACTCAGGTAACGAGAAATAAAATTCAAAGAAATTGCAAAAATGTGTTTTGGAAAGATGTGTTTAGGGCATGGTATAAATTAAGAGCAAAAGAGGAGCTGTTTAAAAAAGGGAGTTTTCCCCTACTTAAGACACCCTTATGGTATAACAAAAATATTTCTGTTGGTAATAAAGTTGTTTTTTATAGTAAGTGGTTTAAAAACGGGATTATGATAATTAATGATTTGTTGAAAAA